AAGGAATCTACGTTTAAAACTTACTAATTTCTTACTGTGCGTCGGAAAGTTTCTAACCTAATCCATGAAATCCATCAATGTTTGATATGACTATTAGAAAAATGATCCCATAAAAAGAGATAAAACGCTCGCTAACCATGAGTCTAAATATTGGGTACTAAGTTGCAAGACGAAATAATAGGCCCTTAGATTGGACGCCCAAGTTTCACATTGCGGTTTGCTAGATTTTTTTTCTGCATCTTATGAGAAGAACTCACAAGCAGGGAGAACCATGGCCCTCACAGACGGCAGAAAAATCTCGGCTAGTATTTCCACATGGGCATACCCCTTAAATCTGCTGGCTCCGACATCTGTCAACTCCCCGACACCACTGCTGTGCATCCACTCAAACTACACAGCAATTTCTGACAGTCTGCGTGCTGTTGTCAGCATGACAAAAGGGGTTTACATCCCTTGTAGTAGTAATGGATTCTTAATGATAATAGCAATAATAATAATAAATAAATAAGAAAAAATGACTCACCGCGTTTGTCTTGATGCCTTTTGTAACAAATCCTTTCGCCTGATCATAAGAAACAGTTGGCAGGACCAACCGACGACTACACAGTGAGACCGGCATGGGACCTGTTACTTGCTTAATCCAGGACCGCCAACTCAGGCTATATAGGTTCACAGCTCATCTCCCTGTGGATGACTCTGCCCATCAGGTTGTCTCTTTACGAGTATACCGTGTACATAAGCTTACGGTGGACGCTGGTTATTTAATACCAAGGCCCGAGGTGTCGTACCCACGCCGCGTTCTGGCGGACGCTGGCTATATAAATGGCAAAGATGACCCGGATAGTCAGAGTTCGTGCCCAGCACCCGTAGGGTCAAGGTCACCCCCTGGCCTACGGCTTTCAGGGCCGGAGGACAGATACTGCACTGAGACTTGCCCTCCCGTGGGCTCAGGTCATTCTTACCAGCCTTCCGCCCCCCCACAGGGCGACCGCGCGACCTCCCGCACTCAGTGCTTACCCAAGACCTTGTCTTGTGTGTACTATATCTGTTTTGCTTGTACTCTTCAGAAATAAAGAGTTAAGCCATCTTCCACTATTACTACTCCTGCAACCAATGTTTAAAGGTCCTCAAATAAATACCTTTTACATGTGGTGGTAGGGTGGTCGTTGCGTCCTTTTCGCTCGCAACATGGCCACCGCTCGACCCATCGTTACCACAAACGACATGTTTTCGAACTATGTGAGTACACATTTTGGGCCTTTTCCTATATTTTCTCCCATAACAGTGTTAAGCTGTATGTGCAGTCACTCTCACATGGTTTTGTTGGGTTAAAGTGCTAATTGACAGCAAATGGTATGCTATCATTCTTTTAGTTTACAGACGTTTAGAA